GGGTCAGCGATTGGATAAAAAGGGGGTGGGGTTGGTTAGGTGGTGTTAAAGTATGTTAAATATATCAAAAGATTTTCGGGAGATTTCATGGTGGGTTATCAGGCAAATTGCGTCCGTGTAAGTCGCTTAAATTTTCGGCTTTGTGTGCTTAATTAAACGTTCCCTGCTTATTGGGGCAAATTAGTGTGTGTTTTTTAAGACCGCCCTTTGAGCCAACCCCGAGCTGTTCACTTTGGCACGCGTTGGCCTGCACGTGTCTCTGGCACCTGGCAAGCTGGCAAACTGCACTGGCAAAAATCTTTACAAAATTATAAAAAAAAAGAATCGTAAAAAAATTCTTTAAGTACTCAGTCACATAAGATTTTCTTTCGATTAGTATTATTTGCTATCTTTTAGATACATTTACCAAATCAAATGCAGAATTATGAAATAAAAAAAAACTATTATACGTTCTTAATACTGTTTAGTTATTAGTTTTGGAATATAAAAATATTTTTAAAACTTTGTTTTGATTATTTTCTGTAATGTTATGATACACTTTTTTATCACCAACAGCTTATAAAAATTCATTGAATTCTAAATAGAGCTTTAAACCCCGCTAAGGTCTTCCAAAGGATATTAGATTATAATCTTTGGTTCAGTAAATATATCACTGCTTTTGTAAACGAACGAGTTAAAGTCTTTGAACATATTTTATTCACTAAATATAAGAAAAGGTCCTTTAAAATAGCCCAAACTCTATAAAGGAACTCATAAAAAACTATACTTCAAACTTTACTTCTGATATACGAATGTCATTTATATATTGCCAGGGCTATTAAGTTAGTAGAGAGATATAAGTTAGTTCCGAAAAAATATCAAAATTACCCATCGACAGATGGTTATTAATTATTCTATAGAAAACTTCGAAACCGCTGACAACTTGAAGTATTATTTTCTTGCTCTGTAGCAACAGGTAAACTGGCAACTGCCACCTGGCACAATGGCAGCCGACTTGGCAACTGTCGCGTTCCATTCACTTTCCGCTGAGGCTCGCATTTGTGCGAGTGTGTGGGTATGTGGGTGCGAGTGTGTGTGCCCGGTGAACTGTATGCAAATATGTACACCTGGTCTATATGCAGGTGTGCGGTGTGAGTGTGAGTGTGAGTGTGGGTGTGAGTATCTCTGCGAATGCTCTTGCTTTTGCTGTTGTGTTTGTGCGTTGTCAGTGTGTCACTGTGCCAGCAGCTTGTGCAGTTATTGTTGCCCCTGCAACGCCCACCACCCACCAGCCCACCTGTCCTCCTGCCACGCCCTCTTTTACCCTACGCCCCTTTTTCAACACGCCCCCCCCGGGCGCATATCCCCCAGTCGTTATCCTTTCGGTTCGCTGACTGTTTTTGTGCTGATTTTGCGCTTATTTTAAATGTCTTTTATGCATGTTGTTTTTGTACGCTCCCCCTCGCTGCTTTATTTTTGTTAACGTTTTTGTTTTATGTCTTTTATTGTTAATTATTTAAAATTGCAGAGCTCAGGCTGACTGACTGACTGCCCGCTTGGCCATGTGACTGGGGCTGTCGGTCTGTGGGTCCGGTCCCCTCGAAAATGTCTGTTTTCCACATCCCTTTGGACTTTTTCCCCATGTTTTTCCGACCCCCCAAACGCACGCTTATTGGAATTTTATTTTTGGATCGACTGCGGATGGGGGGATATTTTTTCAACGTTTTCCGTTTGCATGCTCCCAATGGCTTTAATAATGGTTTAATTTTTGAAATTGTTTTTAAATCGGCTTATTTGAGGTATGCCGCACACAGCTGGCCCATCGGTATGCGTTTCGTTCTCGTTAACTCTTGAACATTTTTGGGTTTCATGTATTTTTCAAGGATAAATATTCATAACTTGGTCATTGCTTATCTGATTTTTTCAGGGGAAATCGATTTAAGTTACGTTTTACTGTTTCTGTAAACGTTTTATATAAATAACATAACTGATGTGTGCACAGATTTTATCTTCACGTATATGAAGATAGTATGCAAAGTGGGGCAAATATTGAAATACTGATAAGCTAAAAACCAAATTCTAATTTAATTTACGGAAGGCTTTTATCCTAATTGTCTAGAAACCGGTTGCTGACCTAAGTTACTTATCTGTAAATAATCATTTAAAACCAAAGGGCAATAGAACGACCCTAGTCAGAGTTCGTTCCCCCGTACTTGAAATACTTCATCCTTTGAAGTTTGTTTTGCTGCTTAACCACTCTTTAATCATATCAGTTACAGTAACTAATCCCCCAGGCGGGGATGAGAATGAGAACCCTTTCCCAGCGACTGGGCCCATTCATTCATTAGGCAAACATTGACCGAAGCAATCTACATAAAACCACTTGAGTGAAAAGTTGCAGTCTGTTCGGTATCTATTTTAGCCGGGCCCAGGGCCCATAAAAACCAGAGTCCAGACTGGGGAACCAGGGTTTTCAAGCAGCGGCGACATCGCAGGGATTATTTAGCGCATTTAGAAAATAGGTTAACAGACGCTTAATATTCATATAGCCCTGGATGGGGGTTGGCTCGGAACACGGAGCTGAGAACTCTAAACTTTATTCTTTATCATGACGATGGCAAAACTAACGCAAAGTGCGACAAGAGCTGCGACTCAGCCGGTTTCCATTAAACGAATGATCCCACTTAATTAAATTTAAATTAGGAGCCTAAAGTTGAACGTCACGGACGTTTAAGTGGCTCCGAGTTGAATCGGGCGAGAGAGACTTGGGCTTATTTAGAAGGGGGCCCAGAAACACAGGCCAACCCAGATAAGTGAAACGAATGAATGGACATTTAGGCCAAAGGAGCAGACTAAGAGCTGCATCGTCGTCCTGCGGAGGCACTTCCGTTAATTAAATAATTATTTTGTAGCCACTTGCTGATTACTTTTTGGCCGACTCTCGGCTCTATTCATTCGCAACTTAACACGTTGCTTGGGCTGGAGATCCTGTAAATACTACCCCATATCCGGAGCTGACCTTTGCGAGTGCCCCAGTAATTTACAGCCAGAGATGATAGGCATCGCCCCGCAGTCTAAAGGACCTTCAAAATTTGCCTTTCAAAACGAGCTCACCCACAATGTTTTCCTTTATTTTTCACCCTTGTCGACGGGCACGTGCCCGGCATGGATGAAAAACAAAACGCGATGGCAGGTATTTAGCGAATCCGGCGAGATAAAAATGTAACAGGAAAATTATTAGGCCGCAGATAAAATCCATAATATAAGGCAGCTCATTTGCATTTCAATGAGCTGATTAGTATGCCAATGTCATGCCAAAGAAGCCAGGTAACCCAATATCAAATATCCGAATTTTCAATTTGCCATCATTTCTAATTTATACATACGACACTTGATTATATATATTTTTATACATCTCTATCATTGGCCTTATTATATATGCATGACTTTTTTAAATATATCCTTTGTAATTAGCTTAAATTCCACAAACAAATCGAAAAGCTCTTGGCCATCAAAGACAATTGATAACTTATTTTTATGCCTTTGAATCTGAATCTCAATCTGACAACTTCCCATGCCAACGCAAGCCAAAATCACAAATAATGAGCCTAAATTTCTCTGTTTATATTAATGCTCGTCAATACTCGAAAGGTCGGGAAACTCAGGGAGTTACTAAGTCATTCCCTCAGTCAGTCAATGGGGCCTCGACAAATTTGGCAACTTACAAAAAAGAGGGACGAGCATTTGTCGCTGTTCATTTGCGGCTTACAATTCCTTTCCCGGTCTTTGAGATTTATTTTTCCTTTTTTTTTCGTATTTTTTTGTCGGTGGCTTGTAAGTTGTTTGGTCACACACAGCACACTTAAATTGCGGCCTTTTTGCTTAGCATTTTCCTTTTGGGGCAAGAAACTTGAGAAATATTTGGGAATTGGCTCTTAAGCGACTTTTACATTTGCATAAGCTGGCACACAATTTTCAAAATGATTGCCGCTACTTTATTATCACTTAATGCGCGCGACTCCGGTTCGTATTTTCTTGGTTTTCTTTTTTTATTTTTTTTATCTTTTATCACTACCACTCGACTTGAATTCGGTTCTTTGGGGGCCCGATCTGCTCAGCGATTTTCCGATTTCCCGATTTCCCTAGACCGCTAGAGAGAAAGCATCCTTATGACAGTCCGCCGAAATCGTCCTGTTTGACGCGCGCACGACTGGATACTGAGTTGGATGCTGGGCAGGTGTGGTTGGGTCTCGAGATCCGGCTAGGGCTACAAAGCTACAAAATCCGGCAAACTCTCTCGGGCACTCGGAAAACCTCGGGAAACTCGGAGGCTGTGCTCAATGTACTAAAAAGGGCGGCTTTTACCACCCAGAGAACGAGCGCACACGCACTCGTCTGCAAAGCGAGAGAGAATCCTCCCTGCAGACGCGTGTTTCTGGCAGTGTTACTGACCTAGTAACCGTCTTCTTTTTTTATCTTTTAGGTTTACTCTCCCCAAGAACAACAATAACAACCATAGTACATCTTGTCGTTCTCTGGTCGGTTGCCCTTTTTATTGCCCGCTCGTGAGTGCAGCACAATCTGCAATTGTTGCTGTTGCTGCTGGCATTTGGTTAGTTGTTAAGCCAAAGCCGAGTGTTAGCCGGAATCCATAACAAGAACTGAGGAGCCGAAATCAATTAAAGCGCTTAAAGTAAGCCCCAGCCAATTGCCAACAGATTTATTCACAGAAAATAGACTTACTAACATCCCATTCGGTTGAAACTTTTAAAAGAGGGAACGATATTTATTTGGAAATGTTCTAGTTTCAAGGAATAAACTTATAGGAACACAAGCCCTTTTCAAGGACTTTTATAAAAGTATCATACTAATAACACAGTATAATATCACTAAGGATATAGATATTACACATGCATTATACCATGTTACAAACATTTTATACAAAAAAAAATATTAGATCTTAAAAATAATTCTCATAAGAACGTTTTGTATTTTCTATTACAGATTTTGTACCAAATCGTTCACATTTTTGTCTCTACATTTTCATATATAATTACAAAAAATAAAAATGACGCCGTTTGTACAAGTGTTATAATAAAATACTCCATTTTGTGGGTCACAGGTGGGTTGCTACCTCCATTGGTGACTATTTTTCCCTCGATCCATTTTACACTAGGATACACATGGGTATAGACAGACGGCATGTTGGTGCCACATCCCACAAGGACACTCACGATCCCGTGGACAGTATCCTCGTGTAACAATGGAGATCCCCAGTCACCTCCACACGGTTGTTGTGCAATAGAGGGGTCAAATTCTTCGGCGCACAAGAGGTTAACAGCATTGACGTTCAGCTTTTTGGCGCATAATTGGGGTTCTATCAGTTCCACGTTTATATAGAGCAAGTATGTGGCGAGCGGTCCACCCTAAAATTTTTCATTTATCAAAAACAAGTTCAACAAGGAAGAACGCTATAGTCGAGTACCTCGACTATCAGATACCCGTTACTCAGCTATATGGAGATATGCAAGCAGCAAAGCGAGATTAAAATGCGCCACCTACCGGCGGTATACAGATTTAAGCGTTATGGGCGTTAGAGTGGGCGTGGCAAATTTTTTTTTGGATCAATCGATAGGTATCGACGAGACCAATACATTTCAGTTAAAATTTTTTATCTAGCATGAAAATTGTGGGCGTCACAGGTTTTCGCGGTTTGTGGGCGTTAAAGTGGGCGTGGCAAACTTTTTTTTGGGTCAATCGATAGGTATTGATGAGAACAATACATTTCAGTTAAAATTTTTATTCTAGCATCAAAACTGTAGGAGCCACAGTTTTGGGCGGTTTGTGGGCGTTAGAGTGGGCGTGGCACTGTGCCGAAACAAACTTGCGCTGCGTAAGAAGCTCAGGAATCTGCACGCCAAATCTCAATAGCCTAGCTCCCATAGTTTCCGAGATCTCAGCGTTCATCCGGACGGACAGACAGACGGACAGACGGACAGACGGACAGACGGACAGACGGACAGACGGACATGGCTAGATCGACTCGCCTAGTGATCCTGATCAAGAATATATATACTTTGTGGGTTCGGAAACGCTTCCTTCTGCCTGTTACATACTTTCCGACGAATCTAGTATACCCTTTTACTCTACGAGTAACGGGTATAAAAATGTAGCTTACCTCATTTAATATAGATAATAGATTACTTTACTTACTCGATACATTCGTCCCCAGCCCGGGACAGAACATTTGAGACCCACTGTCGGCGGTTCAAGTGGTAATTTAGCTAAAGAAATATATTTATGATTCCTCGGAAATGCCGTCGTCACCTTCAAAATGGCCAATTCCTGTTTGTTAAGTATTGTGAAGTTATCGGGCAACATCATACTGTCTACAGTAGATATAAAGGTCCTGTTCGGAATATATTTGAGCCTATTGACAGTCCCGGCTACAATGGTCAGTACTCGACTGGAATACACAACTCTCCGATTGCTGGAAAATCAGTTAAAGTCCATAAAATAGTCATTTATTTTAAAAAATATACCCACTTTATCAGGCAGTGCGCTGAGGTCAAAACGAACGTTGGCGACACAATAACTCCTGAGCAGAAATGATTGTCCCCGAAATACCTGTGGACACTTCTTGTCCTTATAGAGACCACATATGGTGCCAGTCGAAAAGATTCTTCGTCATAGTTGGCATCGGAAAGGCGCTTAGCTCGATTAAAGGTTAGAGATGAGACAATCTTTGAATGATCTGCAGTTAAGAGGATCAGTAAGATCAGTAAGTATAGTATCAGTAAGTGTAGTAAATTCAAATAATTTTGAGTATTCATGACGGCTTTGGCAAGTGTTAAGTGTTTGAAAAAAATATAAGGGATTACTAGTTTGGGATCCATTATTCTACATTAAAGAATATTTATGTTAAAAACATCAAGTCTTTAAAGGGCACTAAAAGCAACTAAAATGTGATATATTTCGTTGGCCTTCAACCATTTTTACTATGAGTACAAAGTTTGCTTTACTTTACTGTGCTGAATTTAGAGTGCCTCTGGAATTGGCTGCAACAAAATTGGAGGGATTACGTAAGCGGCAGCAGAACAAACCGTTTTACATGGCAATTATGCTGGAACAAGCCTGACCCCTGACCCTTAATACCCGAGCGGCCGGCCGGCCAGGAGCTGCTGTGTAGAACTAGACCCATTTCAGCAGTCAATTCAAGGATGGAGCCCTCCGTCCTCTCGTCCCCTCGTCCTTTTTCGTCCTGCAGGAGCAACATGTGTGTGCACGCGCCGCTGCTCATTGGAAATTCAATTTTCAATAAATGCACACAAATTGATTTCCAGCTCGGGGCCTTCAAGCGGAGTTACGAAACACAATCGCAGGCCCGCACACACACACACCACATGTTTTTACCCCCCACACCCCACTCACACACACCTGTATTAAGTGTAAAACTTTTCAATTTACCTTCTGTTGTTTTTCGGGCATCAAATATCCTGTGCTGTCAAAAGTATTTGCTGAGAGATTTTTGGTTTTAGGAATGGGTTCCGATCCAATACGATTTGATTCGATCGTTGGTGCCCTTTTATCTCCGCACTCGTTATTAGACTTCTTTTTTTTTTTTTTTTTTTTTTGAGAGCCACTTAAAGCAATTCGCCTGCCGAATTGCGTATTCAGTATGCCATTCGATGGGGAATCGCACTCACACCTTGCCGCATTCCATATGCCACACGTTTGTTCGCTTATCCGCGCCTGAAATTCCGCATCATGCAGCGCAAACACTTGTTAATTACTTTTATTATATCCACGGCTTCACTTGCACAGTCACGCAATTCATCGGCTGCGAATCCGGATGGGGGTCCTGGGTTTCAGTTCCCGAGTTCCCGAGTTACCGGGTTCCCGAGTTCCGTGTCCCGTTTTCCCGGACAAGTGGGCTCCGGCATTATTGCCTGTTGCTTTTGCCAGTGGCAGTGCTCCACCACAGCTGATGTGGTCGGCCGTAAACATGCGGCAGCCAACGAGTGTGGGCGTGGGAGTCCTCCGTAATGCCCGGAGTCCGTGGTCCATATACTCCATACTCCATAGTCCGTACTCCCCTTAACAGTAACGGCTCGTCGTCACACACAAGTAATTGCAATCAGCACCTTGGCAACAAACAGCAGCTGCGCCAAAATACAAGCAAAAATGAAATAAAATAAAATAAAAGAACTGGGCCACGAACGTATTTATTTATAAAGCAACCCGTAACTCAAGGTGCGTGCTGCCGTATATCTTAACACCTGAATGCCGAAACGAACCCTGGGAACTCAGCTCAGGCGAGTGGATTTAAATTTATTGGTAAGTAATGAGATTTCATTCTCATTTCCCTTTGATTTAAAGCACACTTTTGATCCCTGTTCGGTGGTCTTATAGTGTTAAATGGTCATCTGCCTGCAATTTATATGTTAATTAAACATTCTCAAGTGTAATTTCTTGGAACACAGAAAAAAAGAAAGTGTCTTAACAAATATATTACCTTTTAAAATATTACATATTACATTTAATATAATATATTACATTAAAATTTTGAACTAAATAAATTGTGTTTATCTAGAGACCGCAGCGGTTATAAGATAAGTGTCAAATTTTTAAAAGTTTATTAACATTTTAGTTATAAAAGATTTGATTTTATATTTTTTTTTAATTTTTAAAGGTCTTGAATAGCAATTATCAAAGATTTTTTAAATATTTAAGAAAATTAAAACATCAAAATACATTTTTTATTAAAAATAACAACTACCAAACCCTTCTTAAATATATAAAAAATCTAAAATCATAAAAATAATTTTATTTTTACCTAAAATTTTTACTTTTGTAAAATGCAAGTTTAAACTAAAACATTTTGATTATTGCTTGTCTTTTTTTTTTTTTAAGTCTTAGATATTTTTTAAATGTTCCTGCGCCTTTTCATATTTAAATTATTTATAGAAAGACTTTTTATAGTAAATGCAGCTGAGGCTATGTCTTTTTGTATTCAGAATCATTCTGACCAGCTTTACAAATCTCCTAATTTATTAAGCGTACACAAGAGCTCCATTTCCCGCGCAACGGGGCGTATGCTTTATGTCTGTGTAGACACACCCCCTGGGTGACAGCACTGCGTATACGCAACGCCAGCTAAGCCAATTTTCAGCGGAACGAGTGCCGCAATTATGCGGCCTTATTCCATGTGGAAATTAACGCGAATTGCCAGCCATGATTGGCATTGTTTTCGTCGCGTGTCACGAGTGTCAAGCGTGCCGCAAATCAATTGAAATCAAATGTGCAACAATAAAGAGCGACGCAGGTCACACAGAATCGTGTTTCGTATCGATTGGCTGTCACTTGAGATGCGGCCGTTTCGGCCCGGAGTGGTAATAATTTAGCAACTAATTAAGCGACGGAAATGAGGGGGAATAATACGGAGATACAGATGCGAACAGACAGGGACAGAGATTTTTCCCCAACCCATATGGAAGATATATATAACCAATCCAAAATGGCTCGCACACACGCTCTCGCACACATTTCGAAATAGCTTTTCCAATTAAATTTATAACTTATTTATGATGGCAAGTAATCTTCTTTGGGCATTAGGAGATGTAATAAAAATGATTGAAATATAATTGAGAATTGACATAAAAGCCAAGGCAAACACACAATCATCCCACACCACACCACACCACATCACACACATCTAGCTTATAAAATCCTGTCGGCTGGCTTGGCAGGCACTTACAATCAACGATTACCTTTACACCTGCCATTGTGAAAATAAGCCATAAGCGGAAATTACATCAAAAGGATATTGTTATATCGATGAGCAGCCATCGAGGAGCAGGCGTCACAGCTGTGGCAACCGAAAAGCAGCCAAATAGCACAGAAATAAAGTATGGCGAGAGGTGCCATAAAATAAATAACACGAGGAGCCAAATAAACATTTTGGCAAAGGCGAGGCCAACAGGATTCGATACTCCAGACTTGAGATTCCCGGATCCAGAACGAATCCGAAAACTTCCATGTGCCATGTGGCATGTGTGTATGTGCTTTGTGGGGCGGATGTTTGGCATAAAATAGACTTATCCTAATGAAAAAAGTCTCGCAGGCACGTTAAGTAAGATATGTGATACCATGTGATGTAGAAGGAGGGCTGGAGGATGAAAACTGGAACCCGAAGGCAATCTTTAAGGCGTCGAAACGTTAAAAGTTAGGCCTGGCAATAGTGAAAGCTAAGCGGCTTATGACCCGGCAACAAGGTAGGACAGGGCCTCATTCTTAAAGATTGCCATTGGGGGAGATTTCCTGACTCATTTGCCTGGCTTGCGATACGATAAGAATTTAAATTGAAATAGTTTTTACACGGCCAGAGATGACGACACGGAAATTGTGTGTGTTTCTATTCCAACTAATTTGGTAATTTATGCGGGACCCACAATTTACATAGGCAAATGAATGTCGGCGAAACGTGAACACATCCCTCGGGTGGCTTTTAGTTGTATTAACTTATGTTGATGGCCAAAAGATAGCTTCAAAGCAGGTAAGTATTTCAGCATCGTTCGCATATTTTCGGCTACCGGGAAGAAGAAGGCATAAAGAATTCACATTCACGCTGCCACTGAGCACTGCATTCCTTATTTGGGTCAATTGGAGAGCATCGGAACTTTATAGCTCCATGGGCTCTGCCCATTTTGCGCCTCAAAAGACCACTTGAAACCTCAAGGAGCCAAGGACTCGCGAACCACTCGCTTCATTTTGTCAGCCCTTTGTCTTAGCCTGCGGTGAAATGTTTGCTCTGGGCATTGTCATCTGCAGGACGGGCAAAAGCCAAAGGAGTCAAGTGTTCATTATGCTCGAGGATGCCGCTCTCCGCTGGCCACTTGAGCAGTGTGAAAGAGTGGAGGCCATAGGACTCCGTGCACTCGAAAAAATCATTACAACTTTGTCCTTGAACTTGGAAAATGTTGTTAATTGGATCAAATTACTTAAGGGTACGGGTGAATATTTCAGGAACTTTTTTATTGAGACTAAAAGCTTTCGAGGCTAAAATGTCCTTTAATTTTACTGAAGGATCTCCCTTCAATGCAAACATTTTATCTGTTAGTGAACAAAAAATAATTGAAAAACTGGAAAATGGTATGAGATTTTAGTAGCCAAAATTCTTTGAATTATATTTTAATATATTATTATTATAATAATTGAAGGTGTAAGTGCATTTTCTAAGTAAATTTATTATTAAGATTTAAATCAATTGGTAAAAATATTTCCTCTAACATGGGATCTGTAACTAAACGAAAATCCCTAATAAATGATAATTTGTATATATTTATTTGTATAATATTTTATTGTATAAATGTTTGTATAATATTTAGTAAAACCTTTGAAAAATGTTCCTGTAGAGAACAAGTCTTAGGGAAAATATTTATCACAAATTTAATTTTAAGAAAGCAAAAATGGTTTCTTTTCAAGACTTTACTCCCGCAGTATATTAAACTTGGTCAAACCCACTAGGTATTTGCTCTTTCTGTAAATTTTATAAATTTCTCCAAGTGCTCCAGAGGCTGACAGCCTCCTCCCAGATAAAACTGGTAAATAGAAAGGCTGCAGATGCCGCAGCTGCTGTTGCAGCGGCAGTCGCATTCCGTGGTTATTGTTGTGGCTGCTGCTGGCTGCTGGCGGTCCTCGAATTCCAAAGTGGCCGGGAAGTTGCGACGTCTGCAGATTGTCTGTTTGATTATTTGAGTAGAATTTAATTAGCAATCGTGGGCGGTGGCGAATTTAATGCATAAATCAAATGACAGTGGAAATTGTGTGTTTTTTTTCGGGGAAAAAAAAGAAGCGCCTGC